AAAACAATGTTTTATTATATTTTCGTACGTGGATATGCACCAATTCGTTAGTAGATGTATAGTACAATTAGCATATGACGTTATATGTAATAAATTATAAATATTGATAATGTTTTTTTTTTTTTTTGATAAAGAAAATATTGATAATGTTTTATGTAAAAATAAATAAAGGATGGAGAGAGTGGAGCTGAGAAAAGTAAGATGCCAAGTAAAAGTGGTGGGGGCTTTAGTGACAGTGGTTGGATCCATATTGATGATATTCTACAAAGGTCCTTTCATCAATTCCTTCCGATCTCACCTCACCACCACCACCGCCACGCCCGGCGGTGGCTACCTTAAAGCCGCCGTCTTCCTCCTCCTCGCCTCCGTCTCATGGGCGTCGTACTTCGTTCTTCAGGTATAAATTATTGATCCATCTAAAATGTAGTTGGTGTTACTTTCGTGGCATTTCGGTTAAGATCTCTTGGATTGTGTGAACATATCAATAAACCCTTTTCCCATTATAAATACTGAAGAAGAAAATCGTTTACCAAAAAGAAAAAAAGTTACTCATCCAACCTTAAGAACTTCACTTTAATATTATATATACCACAAAAAAAAAAAAATCATGATCACATCGCAATGTAAAATTATTGATAAAAATTTATCAAGATGCTAAGTTGTTTAGATTGATTAGATATGTTATTCTTAAAATATCATTGTTTGTATGCTATTTCTGAAACTTCATGTTACATAATTTATTTTACGAGTAATTAACTATTTCAAAATAGTGAAGTAATATTAATTAGGATGTTACATGTTTTTATTAGGCATCGACTTTGAAGAAATACTCGGCCCATCTCTCGTTATCAACCATGGTGTGTTTCATGGGAACGTTACAATCTTTAGCCCTGACTTTCGTAATGGAACACAATCCTTCTGCTTTGAACATCGGTTTAGACATGAACCTTCTCGCTTCTGCTTACGCGGTCCGTTCTTTATCTTTATGTTTCAAACCACTTTTACATATTAACACAAACACC